AATTACGGTCTAACTTCTTAAATATGGTGGCAATACTATCATAACACAGTTACAAAACGTCACTAAAACCACATGGGAGAAAAAAGCTATCCCCGATCACTGGTAGGAGAGTATCATGATAGTGATCCACATGAAAGGCGATAGAACGGTCTGCAAAAATTGCAGAGGGATAGCACTAATCAATGTGGCCTATAAAGTATTATGGAACGTAATATTGGGATACTTCCAGTGTGGTTTCAGAGCAAATAGATCAACAACGGACCAGCTCTTTACTATCAGGCAATTGCTCGAGAGGAGCTGGAAACTCAATCAAGACCTCCATCAGCTATTTATAGATTTTCAGCAGGCATACCACAGCGTAAAAAGGGTCAAAATATGGCATCCATTGGCTGAGTCTGGCATCCCACCTAAGCTGAAAAGACTAACCAGAGCTTGAGTTGAAGGTTCCAGGTGCAGAGAAAAGATTGGTGATGACTTCTCAGATATATTTTAGGCTAGCACAGGCCTTAAACAGGCAGACGCACTATCACCCACGCTTTTTAATATCGCATTGTAGAAAGTAGAAAGAGAAGCAAAAATCTAAACTCAACTATTCGGGGCCATTGGATCCAACTTTCTGCTAGAATATTCCGACGATATAGACGTGGTGAGCATATGCGTCATAAGAGTAAAATAACTATTTATACTACTAAGTATACTACATATATTATATGGAGCTTAAAGTCAACGAGGCTAAAACAGAATATATGCAAGCCTCAAGATCAGGCAGAGTTACCTAGAATAGAACAAATTGTGACCATGGACACATACATCTTTGAAAATTTAAAACAATTTAAATACTTCGGGTCCACAATCACATCCGACAGCGACATGAGTGAAGAAATCAGAACACGCCTAAAGTCAGCAAACAGGTGCTTATACGCCCTAAAGGATATACTACAGTCCAAATGCGTGACTAGGGAAACAAAAATCCAAACGTACCAGACTATGATAAGACCCGTGGTAATGTACGGGTTCGAAACCTGGACTCTTACGGTGCGAAATGAGGAACTCAGTCGAAGATTCGAAAGAAAAGTGGTCAGGAAATTTTTCGGACCCGCCCAAAACCAGGGTACGCGGACTTACCGAATCAAAACAAATGCAGAACTAAAAGAAACATACTACCAGCCAGATTTGATTAACCTCATAAAGGCCCGCCCACAATTGGGCAGGGCACGTACGAAGACAGCCAGAGGATAGAATGGTGGAAGAGGACTCCACTACCAGACCAGCTAGTGCTTGCAGGACAGCGGCTACCCTGAAGGTCCCAGATAACCTATCTGGGGCTTATCTATGACAAGCGACTAGTCTGACACGACCTGATGACAGCAACAATCACCAAGGCAAGAATCCTGCTCCAGGCTTACTATCCTATGCTGACAAATAAGCTGTTCCTGCGYACAAAGGTTAGAGCTTACAAACAACTTATACGACCGGTGCTGACCTACGGATGCCCTTCATGGTCCACGGCCAGCGCCTCGCAGAAGCGAAAACTGGCAGTATACCAGAACAGAATACTGAGGATAGTAGCAAAGGCCCCATACTTTGTCAGGAACACCACCCTGAGAAGAGATCTGCAAATAGAAGACCTACTGGACCACATCCAGGGCTTAACGTCAAAGTTCCTGGATAGGGCCCGGCAAAGCAAGAATCCCATCGTCAGGGTTTCTTGCATCAAGAAGTTCAACTGTGACCGCAGCCCTCTCCATGCGGACACAGTCTGAGAAGMAGACGTGGACCACACGCGATGACCAGTTCCTGCACCACATCGAGGKCCATGGCTAACTCTAAGTTGACTTATGGTTAAGCTAGGTTTAGATTAGGCTAAGGTAGAATAAGCTATATGATGTTATATTAAGTACAAACGATGTTAGCATTTAGGAGCCGKAGATAAGTAGYAATAAGRAGGAATGTAATCCTTAATTTAAAAAAAAAAGTTGTTCAAATAGAAGGAAGACCGAKATTAAGGTGGCGTCATAAYATACCATCGGACCTCCGCAAAATGGAGGATCGAGAATGGTCTAAAAGTTATGGAAGACCGAGACATATGSAGGCAAGTTAATAGCTCAGCCAAGRTCCACGGCTGTAGCGCTACGGAGTAAGTATACGGAGTCTAATAAGGCATCATGTTCACTTAATTTTTCATTGACTAAAAGTTCCGAGGCGAGGGTAACCAATCATACAATATCTGAGTAAAGTAAATATAAACTCTATTCTGACTCTAGTAAAATGGCTGGACGTGAGCAGTTTTGTCTTTGACACTTGAAGCGAACGCATATGAATAGCGGTTTGAGATGTTAAGAATTTCGCGCTCATTATGCAGTCCTGATTAATTGTGTATATAAACTTTGCATATCTATTATACTCAATTAAAGACCATATTTTCGTTTACCCCCTATCGGCAAATTTTCTGCCAGTAATTCACCAACACTAAACCGAATGGCGATAAAACCCGACAACATTCGATTTTCTAAATACATCGCTGTTTTAGATTTTGCTGAAATATTAATTATAATTTGAGTCGAAAAGACAGCCACACCCTTATCTTATTTTTCCAAAAACGTCATTTAATTCGAGGATTTGGGATTTAATCCAGACACGGCAGCGTTCTAATTTGAGGCAAAAACAATCCGAAATTATATTTTGATTTGGATTTAGTTATTAAAATGTACAAGGAAGAGGAATTAGCCCGATTTCCTTAAAGAGACATAACAAGAAATGAAAGAAGCGGGATCTGACGGGTGCGACGGTGCCAGGTTTATAATCTCCCCATTTTGAATTACAGCACTGAAAATATTATAAAACTGTGGATTCCGCCCGATTAGGACTTTAAATCTGTATGTAATTCTGTGGTGTAAACATTTTAAACTGTATTTTTCATTTGTAGAAACAATCTCAAAAAGGCGTTACAAATGCAGATAATCACCGTTTCTCATAGTTGTGATTTTGAAAATTTACATGGAAAGTTTCACTTATAACGTGTATAATGTTAATTAAATTTTTCGTAATCGTGATTAAACCAATAGGGCCAAACTTAATGTTACTATCAGCGAATTAGTTATCTTGAATCCCATTATACTACAAATTACGGTTACAACAAAAGTATATTCCGCAACTGAGAGTGACCTAAATCATGGATAAATAGAAAATAATATACCACACAGGCTGCTTTACAAATGCATAAAGCTGTGGCAACATTGGATTACCGGTTGAATAAATTAGTGGCAGAAGTGGGATATAAAATTTTGAATATGAATGGAAAATTTTGCATTCGTAATAAGTCCTTTTCAGAAACAAAACGAAGCTGACTAGAACATATGTAGATGAGAAGCGGAGATCTGACGTGGAATATAAGTATTAGCTCGAGTTGGGGTAATTTAAAATTTTAAAGAGGCGGTTAAAACGTTTTTGACTTCTGCGGAAATTGTATTTGGAATATCAATTTGGGTCGCATTAAACGGAAATGAATATTAATCCATTGGTTTTTCCAGTTCCGTGAGACTGAATTAAACTATTGCTGTACTCATCCATTATAATTGGTTTTTAAATGTGCAGAATGATTTTCAACTTAATATCAATTGAAAGATAAATTGAATGCTGGTTAGCACTCTATTTTAGTTTTCGCTCTCTAAGTAATTTAATCTTAATAGTGAAAACAAATAGTTTTACAGTTCTTGCCTCTAATGAACGGACTAGCATATGTCGATTGATTTATATTATAAAAGTGATATCAAGATTCAATAGATAATTTAATTTGTTTATATGAGTCCCTTGATAACCGGACCAGATAAAAATTAAATATTATCGGCAAAATTACCTAAATTATGACTATTCTAGTTCAGAGAGGGAATTAGGCTCATTCATTTACACTCATGTCGGGCACGTTGACGTGGCGCTCAACGAGACGGTGCGAAAAGTGAATCTATCCAACAGTTGGTGTTGAACAAGAACCGACCATATGCACCACTTAAATGAGCATCAAATTTAAATGCATATCCTTAAGTCTCGGACAAGCTTGATATGGCCGACATCGCTACTGGAGATTATGCCTAAAGTACGCCGAAAAAATTTATAGCTAGAGACCCTCACACCAATCGGGGCAAATGGGTGGCCCCTGGAATCTACTTTTCCTGATATGAAGAACGTTGAACAGGCTATGCACGGGAGTCGCAGGATGTAATAGCAACCTAAAAAATTGGATCTACAGAGAGGATGACACTTATGAATTCGGTGCTACCCAACACCACCAGCATCTGGCTGCATCTCCAAACATGAGAGAGACTTGCACAGAGAAGGACCTGCTACTCGCAAACGAAGAAACCAGTTACGCGGCTGATTTTTGGAAACTACAAGTTGAGTTTTATATGGTGATCAGGGCCCGGAAAGTAAAAAATTATGTAATTAGAATAGAAGTATAAAGAATAGAAAATCCGAAAGTTTTGAAGATTAACCCTTGGTTAGGCGAGCCTAATTATGGGAGCCGAATTGGAGTAAGTGGGGTAATTCTCATCCCGTGGCCATATTGATCAATTAATTTTTTTTCAACCTTTTCTGTGAGAAAATGCTTTGTTTGGACTTTTCGGAATACTGGCAAAATACGATTAGTTGATACATAGTAATACTTGTTTTATTGAAGGAGAAAACCACTTAACATTTTCTAACAAACAAACCTAACAAGACAAAAATATGTAAGAAAACTTTACAAATAAGTAAGTTTTCGCCACATTCAAAACATAAGAATCTGGAGAGAATATTGCAAATGGGTTTTATAGAACTGCTTCAACTTTTTTTAGTTTTCCTGCCTTTTCTTAGATGCATTCGGTATTGGCGGCGTAAGCCCTACTCTTTCTGCTGATATGCTGATAAAGATTCATCCAGTTTTTGCGTCAAGGATCTTGGAAGAGATGGTATACTTTTTTTGACATTAATGTGACCAGTTGCTAGATTTTGAGACATTTTTCTCAAAATAATTCCAGGTTTTAGTTTATTTTCCGAAGACTTGTCATAATTATAGGTAAAGTATGAATGCCAGCTACATTTCTCAACGCAATAACCATTGCAAGTGGCCACCGTTTAGTTCTTTAGTTCTTCTTTGCCAAGAGTATGTAGCAGCCTTCGTCACGTCGCAAAAAGTAACAACGTTTGGTTTCTTGTCATCACCGGTAGCTTCATCTATAATATCTTCAGAAGAGTGCATTGTAGACTATATTATATTGTAGGGTGCATTGTAGTTCATAATATTTTATTTACTTACTTCACTATAACAACAGAAACTACATCAATTGAAGAAAATACCTCAGCAAGTCCAAGCTGCACTTTTGGTCCCGTGGGATGCAAATGAACATATAAATGTTTATAAGTAAAAACACCAAACACTGACAGACTTTGATAGCTGTAGTATAAACCTGTTGCACTTCTATAGGAAAATTTAAATTTACAGACATATATTGGATTGCAGAAGTAAGATACGGTTAAATAAAAATATTCTGGGACCGTGTGCTCCCCGCGTGCTTGACTAAGGGTTAAAAACTTAAATATTTTGATTAAAAAATCCCTGCTCTCGAAACATTTGAATCAAAGAACAAGTAAAGAACTGTAAGCGCATATATAGAGAAACATGCGGAATCGACGTGAACAAACTTAGGAGGGTATGTTTAGTCGATCTTCGGAATTTTGCCGGAGATTGTTTTGGTGAATAGCCGAGCGTGCCGCCGTCGACGCGAAAGCGACAGGTTTTTGATGCAAAACCGTTCTTTGATGATGATCATCCGTAATATCGCTATTCTGGTGGTTCCATTTATCTAACGATAAAAGTTCGGCACTGCTTGCAGTTTATTTAGCTCGTGAATTCGTTTCAAAATTCGGCGCTGGGACGCCGGATGAGCGCTTTCCACTGCGGCTAGTTGCCTCTCAGAATAAGATTTTGAATAAATAAATCCCAAAATAATAACTTTTCTAAGGAAAGACATATTAACGGTGAAAGCGGTTATTAACTTTGAGAA